ACAGCTGATCAGGGCACTGTTAGTGGAGCTTAACAGCTTTGCAGGCTTTGTATGTTTCCTAGGGAAAAAAAAATATTTTTTCAAGGGTAATAGAAAGGAACGTCTTCAAGTGGTTTTAGTTTTGAACAGCTGAAGCAGGCCACAAGGAATAAGAAGATTTCCCATTCTTATTGTACAGCTGGAGAACTGAGGCACAGAATATTTAATTGACTTGCCTGGGGTTGCCCACAACAGTTGTATTAAAGCTAGTAAATAAATTTAGATAATCTTAGTCTAGACTCAGTTCCTTAGGCCATCTTTCTTCTGTAAAATTACTTTTAAAAAATTTTTTATGGCTTCAATGAATTGCTTTCAGTTAGGTAAAGCATCAAGACTGTTTAAGAGAGAAAAAGTAGAGCTGACATTTCAATAAAGAAGTAATCAAGCTTGTTTTCCCTTTGTTTTCTGTTTGGAATTACTTTTGGTGAAGGTGTAATTATAAATTCATAAGTTTCAATTAATAATACCTGGATTGTACATGTTAAGAACTTCTGTAGTAAGAATCTTGAAGTCCATGCTTGTATCCAATAGACCCTTCTTGGAAAATTAGTCTCTTTGAATGAGACTTTGATTAATTAAAGTTTGATTTACTGCATTCCAGTAATGCGGCATAATGTCCTGATTCAGCAAGTTACTAAAACCCATCATTTAATGTACTTAAGAACAGATATACACTTAAGTCTTCTTTTGAATTGTTTGAATTCTTTGGTTCATTTGTCTAAATATTCTTAGCATCTTTGATTACTGTGTTAACATGTTTTCTTTCTTCTTTCATGTCTCTTTTTCAACTCTGAAAAAAAATAAGTATATTTAGCAGACATGGATAGATCATTTTTATTTAAGCAACCCAATTTCAGAAAATATCTAAGATGCCTGGTATGTCTAATTTCTAACCAAAATTACAGTTCTTATTATGTTTGGATCTGTATCTCTGCATAATAATTTAAATTTGGAGCTGGTTTAGAATTGTTAAAATAAAAAGTAGCTTAAAAATTACATCAAATTTTTCTTTTCCCAGACACCTTTTTTAATCCCCAAATTTGAAGTATTTGAATCCTAATTTGAAAATAATTCTCATGTGTTCCTTTCTTGATGCAACAGTAAGTTTCAGTCTATGTAAAAGTAGATTTTGTGTTCAATTTCCAAGGCATTGGAATTCTATAATAGAACTGCATAACGCGAATTAAACTTAAATTACATTTCTTTCCTCCAGAAAGATCAATCTAAGTTCTTCCAATAGCCGATATGCTTTTGACTCCTTTCTCTGTAGTGTAGATTTTATTTTTTGGATTACAGGGAGGAAGACTTTATTCTCTGAAATGTAGAAGTGTGGGAAAGGAATAATGCAACTTCAAACTAGCAGGAAAACTGGCTAATACTTAAGAGAAAGAGTCTTGGTGCAGTGCTAGCGCAATTCACTAAGCTCGAACCCTTTTCAGTGTAGGTAATTCAGCTGTTATGTATTAAAGAAAGCAATTTTAACAGTAAGAATTAGAGGAAGCTTTTGGATTATAATTGTAATTGAGGTAATTTTGTAAAATTCATTAGCAAGATGATCTCATTTGTACAAATGTAAAACGTATCACTCATAAAGTTCTGTCAGGTTTCCGTTGACCCAGGTGCTTATAATGTGTTAATTTACATCAGAGAAACAGCAGTGTGTGGAAATTGGACAGCAGACAGGATTTAGTTATTTTTCATTAGCACTTGGACTTTGATAAAGGGGAACAGAAAAGAGCTGCTTGACCTTTCAGTGCTTAAATTATTGAAGAGCAAATAGATTTGAGGTCTAGATGCTTGCAAATCTAATTTGTCTTGTGGAGTAAGGATGAAAAGACATTTTGAGCTTGAAATTGCTCCCCTCGATGTAGTTCTTTCTTTAATGTATCTGAAGATTAATAGATGGCAGGCATTTAAAATGTAATATACAAGGAGTAGTGCACGTATTATAACTAACATGAATTTGCCAGAAGAAAAGGAGCATTTTAATGACAGATTCATTTCTAAAGTATCTACAATCTTTAGCTCTAATCACTGAGTGAAAAATGGAAAGAATCCTCATTTCAGCCAGTACTGAAACAGGTCATATTACCTTGTCTGGTCTGAGGTCAGTCCTGCTGCAATAAAAAAAGTAACAATACTCTCCTGAATGCGACAGTGGAATAATTTTGTTTACTCTCCATCATGCTTTAGTGAATCTGAGGGATTCTTATCTTTGCTGTGGTATTAGGCAAGTGTATCCAGCTTCACTGCCTTGCAAGAACAGGTGTTTACATCACCTTGAACTTTTTTTTCCAATACTCCATTTAAATTCACAAATGGTATTTATTGTAAATTAGTAGCTATAGGAGGCAACACACTCTCTTCAAAGCAGTGTGGAATCCCAGTTCTAAGCAACTGTGTTTTGTTCTAGAAAATTAACTGCTAAAATCATGTCAATCTTTGATTTGGAAGAGAAAAAAACAACATTGTAATGACAGTGATATATTTTTAAGCTTAGATATTTCATGGCGAGTTTTTACATATCAATTCTCATAGGATCAAAGAAAGTTTGCCATGTATTGACCATCATTTACTACTCAGCATAGTATTAATCAACTAATGAAAATCCTTCTGCTAGATGTGTAGACTTTGTTGTGCAGAACTGCAAAATGTACAGACAGTGGCTTTCAAGTGGGTCCTCAAGACATTTGTTTGTCTCCCTGGCTGTTCCAAATTTTACTTATACATGGATAGACTTCTGCATGGGATTCAGCATCGGATTTAAACATCTTAATTTAAGTGTCCACTTGTAGATGTCTACATGTGAGTTGAGTATTTAGTTTTTATGGTCAGTAGAGCCTAGAAAGCAATTAAGTTGACCTAAAAGTAAACACCTCCAGACTGGTCTGGTCTTTAAGATCTGTTGCTTGTACTGACTAGCTCTCCAGTGACTGAAAGGGGAGTTTACAGATATATAGACATCTTCATGAAGACATTTAAGTGTCTTAACATTAAACTAAATCTCCACTGCGCTGAAAGCCTATATTAGGCAGAAGAAGAGGTTTTAAGCATTCTGAATGTTAACTTTCTGGATGTTTTTTGTGAGCATAGGAAATGCAGCATCTCCTACTGGAGGTGCTAGATCTTAAAAACATAGTGAACAGGGTCTGTTGCATGTGATCAGTAGCTCTGGTAAAAAAACAGTAAGATGGCCAAGAGAATTGACATTGTTCTGCCTCTTGGTGATATTCAGCTATGATGGCTCTGTAGATGTAGCATTGTGCTGTCTTAGAATCATAGAATGGTTTGGGTTGGAAGGGACCTTTAAAGATCATCTAGTTCTAACCCCCCTGCCATGGGCAGGGACACCTTCTGCTAGATGAGGTTTTTTCTCAAAGCCTCATCCAACCTGGCCTTGAACAGTTCCAGGGATGGGGCATCATTCAAGCACACGACATTACCGGAATGTGCAAAGGTAGCTCAAGTGTAGAAGCAGTACATTAGTCTGGTTGTGTACCGAGTCGGCAAGGCTTTCCGAGAGTGCGAGAGCTGGAGAGCTCTGTGCCAGTGCTCACAGCAGCCTGAGTCATCTGGCAGAGGCCCAGCAGGTGCAGGAGCTCACTAGCTATGAGCTGGTTTGGTGACTGCACAAAGTCAGCTCTTTTATTTCTAAATCAGATTTGCCTGCAGAAGGGGAATAGCCATGGCTATGCAGTGATATGACTGAGCTAATAAGCCCTGTTAGGTCCAGACTGAGAGCTGCAGAGGCCCAACCCAAGTGTCCCTGTACTTTGGGCAGAGTCTTCTGTAAGCAGTACCGTCTACCTAGAGATGACACAGTGGGAACAACATGTGAGATGACTGTGTGGATATTTCATCTTTAAGGGACATACCCTACCCAGAGATTGCTACTTTTTATGAATTATCAACTTGAAATATCATAAATTGTTATTAGATGTAGCTGATGTGCAAAATGTGGACACACTGCTGCTTTAACATCAGTTACTTATACTGACTTACTTACCAGGATTCAAGATTCCAAGAGACAAATAATGATTAAGAATCACTGGTCCCCAGTGAAGCAATAAACTTGCAAGCCAGTCTTCGTTAGAGACATGAACTTCCCACTTCACAAATTTGAAAGCACTGACTCAGGCTTTTGCAGAAACTGCAAGGGTATAATGATTATACTGTTTGCATATACAGCAGAAATCACGATTTCTTTGTTCCCACTTGAATGTCCCTAGCACCTTTACAGTGGAGAGAGATGGACTGTTCCCTGTAGGTCCCATCACAGCAAAGAATGCAAGTACAAACTGAATTGCTTTCAGAATGCAGAAACACTTAAAAACATGGTTATCTCTTAAGATGTGTAAAAGTGCTTTACTGAGTAAGAATAACTTCCATCCAAAAGAGTTTTATTCTTGCCCAGTAATAGTCAATATGCCACCGAAATTTGAAAAAGACTGTAATTTACTCTATGTGTGCTTTTATAGTTATAATGTCAGCAGTTAAGCGAATACTATTCCCCACTTTTTTGTAATTCGTTTCTTCATTTTTATCTTACTACTCATTTCATTTAGTTTAGACAGGTTAGAGGATGGAACCTGTAGCTTTATACTTACTTCTGTGAAGAAAATGATACTTAATTCTACATTTTATCACTAATTAGGCAAGCTTTTTCTGTACAAGAGTTCAAACAAGAAAGTGTTCTGGGTATTTGCTATACAAAAAGCTGTGGTGTCTATGGCTAATTTTGTTTTTCCAAAACAAAATGAATTTATTTAGATGAATGAATCTATTCCACAAATTCGTACACCTGAATATCAAAATGACATTTTCTTCTGTGGCCTTTGCTTTTAACAGTTCTTTTTTTTCCATAAATACTGGTATGCTATTATGGTTTCAGAATCAGTTGACTGCCCGACTCCTAAAATAACCCATCTGTTTCTTTTGTTCTTTCCTTTCTACACTCTTAGCGTCTATCAAATAGTTGTTGAAGAAGAACGCCCGCGGAGGACCAAAAAGACAACTGAAATCCTGAAGTGCTACCCAGTGCCCATTCATTTCCAGAATGCCTCGCTTTTGAATTCCCAGTACTACTTTGCTGCAGAGTTTCCAGCCAATGGTTTACAAGCTGCTCAGCCTTTTACTATTGGTGATAACAAAACATACAGTGGTTTCTGGAACACTCCTCTTCTTCCTCATAAGAGCTACAGCATCTATTTTCAAGCTGCTAGCAGAGCCAATGGGGTAAGTCTTACGACAGGTGTGGTTTTATGCAGTATTTGTGTGTAAACAGATGATTGGCACCAACTAGCAAGACGCTCAATTTAGTTGCTAATGAGAAAATGAAGTAACTGTGAAATTTAACACACTGAGTTTAAAAAATAACAGTTTTCCTAACACAATATTGCTTAATGATTAAAGGTTACAGGAAATAAAAGGGGAAAACAGCACATTTTGTCAAGAGCAAGTAGGCACAGTAGTGCCTCACCATTCTGTCTTATTATCTAAAAGCTGTCCAATGAGTGTATTTGGCTTTTTTTCTTTCTTTTTTTGTTTTTCTTTTCTTGCTTTGAAGAGGAGTGTTGTGATTTCTTTTGTTAAGTTTAAGCCAAACTTGATTGTGGATTTTAGCACATCTGTCTTAGCCTGTCCAATCCCATTAGCTTAGTTTGTAACATCTTGAACTCCCGTTTTCTCATTTGATTGCCCTGACTAAATTAGAAACCACTTTTTTCCCCTCTTTGTGAAAACAGTAAAAGAAAATAAGTAGATGGAACTGAAATGAAAAGTGCGTAAAAAGGTCTTCGCAGATCATGTTTCATCAGGCTAATTCTTCCTGGAATTGTTTTTCATTTCCTGGACAGACCTACCCAGAGCCCTTCAATTCTTGATAAGCTTTGGCTGTCTGTGCTGACAGCCTGGAAATGTTTTCTGCCAGAAACCATAATGGTCTCTTTCACAGTGCACTGACAGTGCAGAAATGTGAAACACCATTGATTGTTTTTTCTTTCTAAAATTGTCTAGCATGATGCCTCAAACTATACTATCTGTAAGGAAAAGAAAAATCTCCCATGGTCCTAAAGTCGACAAAGGAATAAAGCTGAACACTTGGCCTGTGCTTTTGTGAATCTTCCACGTATTTTCTACTTTAGGGTTTCTTAAGTGAAATGTTTACACACCATACCCAAGTAGTGTTTGTCCATATTATGAAAGAAAGTTAGTGTTGCTTAATAAGCAGTTAAATATGTGATGAGGCACATTAAATGAGCACTTCTTTAACATTGTATCAGTACTTTTAAGAATAGAATCATGGATGAATATCTTTGCTTAGAAACAGAAGATATGACCTTTTTCTTCTTTATTTGACACAGGAAACCAAAATCGACTGCGTCAGGGTAGCCACAAAAGGTATGTTCATATTATGTCAGGTATTCTGCATTTCATCCTGCTGACCTTTCCCTTACATGGCCTTTGCAAACTTCCAGAAGTGTTTATATTGCTAAAAGGCATCATTAAACCTATTACAGAATGTCAAATGATTCATTTGTGTCTCTAGCTGAAATATAGGAAGTTTGTTTGTTTGTTTGTTTGTAATAATAAACATATTACTCAGTTGACTACTCGGGCAAAGAGTTGTTAAAATATATTTTGTGGGTTTTTATATGATCTCACAATAAGTGTGTTGGACTTTTCTATATATAATAGAATTGTAAAATTGACAATTGCAGAATGCATACGAGCTGCTTATACATCCCATATTGAAAAATTGCCCCTTACTCATAAGCAATTATTTTGTCTTAATTGCTTTATAAAAGAAAAGTGAAGAAATCATATTCTTCATTTTCATGGTACAGATCAGATATATTTATTGGACTGTCAGCACATGATACTACCATTTGTTAGACAAGTTTGTATAATCGAGACAGTGCTAGCTATAGATTTGATCCCCAAACAGGAAATGATAAACGTGCTGCTGATATGTTTAACTTTGGAGGCTAGGATCTGTCTATGATTATCTTTGTAATCTCACAATTTTAGTACCGTTAGCTGGTGACAACTTCAAAGCCTGAAAAAGAAGTGGTGGGATAGTGTGATTATTTGGAGATTGTAGTAGAGGAAAAGGAAAGAAAGTACCGCTGTGAGTAGAAACAGGTAATACCACCTAGGGGTTTGGCCACCTGGTAAGAGTATGAAACAAAAGCTACTTCATCCCTGTCCCACCGTTCCATGCAGGAGTTCATGCATGTCTCATAACTACTAACTAACTGATTCCACCATGATTTCCTTTACATGTAGACTTCACAATTCCACCACCAGCACTGACTCTAAATAGAATGAATGAGAATCGCATTACTTAAAACTAACAGTAATGTTAGCATACAGTTGCCTCTGTTTAAAGGCTGGATCCTCCCTAATGTGACAAATACAGTTTTTATGGCTGTTTGAACTGGTTCCCAGAGTTTTTTTCCAAATCAAAGGAAATAGTTTTAATTCTAATTTACTCACTGACTGCTTACTAAACCATAGAAAACTTTCAAATATCTAAACTAAAACCCAGTAAAATATAGATGAGAGATTAATTCCAAATTCAAGTGGAATTCTGTGTTGTCATTTTCCAATAGCTTCAGTGATACCAGGAGTAGACTACATTACTTCGGAAATCATAATAGTTGGTTAGAGGAATGGATTTTAAATTATTTGAAGATTTGTATTGCTAATCAATAATGGATGTTCAACTATTTCAGTTATTTGACTGAGTGAAAAATCTTACTCTCTCATTTGAGAGGCAAAGGTAACTTTATGGATTGGAGTAGCTCCCATAGCAACAAGCTACTTTGAGCTTACCCATTTGTCAATGGAGAATATGAGAAATGAAGCTTTTACTTTAAACAAATCTCCATGCATTTCTATTGTGAAGCGTGTTTCGGAATTCTTTGTAATAGCTTTGTGGAGCCTGTAAAATAATGTGAGGGGTTGTTGTAAGGACTTTGAAACCAGAGGTGTCCTCAATGGCATTTGTAGTCCCTAGTGGAAATCTTAGTTGGGGACTTCTGTAAAGCACTGATTTCCATGCTTGCAAACTGAATGTCTGTATTATATTTTTAAACTATATTCATTTTTAAAAATAAAATAGACACCATGACGTATTTTAATATGATATTAATCATGCCTGTTTGTACAGGTTTTTCCCTATGGATTTAACAGATACTTGAGAGAAAAACAGACTTCTGTGCCCTTTGGACTTCCCACATATGGACTAGAAAAAATAGCACAATGCTTAATGTCACCACACTTACAGTGGGACAAAACAGAGAATTGTCCTCTCCCATTCACCTCCCCATCTGTCCATACCCCTGCAAACAGCTCGGTACAACATTCGCAGTGCTTGTGCTCCAAGAAACAAAGGCTGCTCTGACCACTGTGCCTGATCTCTTACAAACACTTTCCACTGAGTTTTGTGACTGCAGCATAGCTACTAGACAGTAAGCTACTTAAGCTCCTTTATGTGCTTGTTGTGTCCATCTATTTATTACAATGCTTCTTACAAATAAGGCTGCAAATGCTCTCCAGTATAACATCTAGTTTTCATATACTAATATAATTTCTGACATGTTTGTATTCTGGGCTTCTGTTATCTTTAAAAGTTCGAGTTTAGCTGGGTTTTAAAGCTAAAAGGAAGTGATTTAGGCCATTCACTTATAAAACTGGTACGATCCTCTTTTAAGTTAAGGTCTGATCATGAAAATACATACAATGGCCTAGTGTAGGCCATTGGAGTTAGTAGACATGCTCTAGAATTTAATACGTGTGTGGGAAAGCATATACTTTTAGGACATAATCAAGGAGTTACGTACCTGGTTTTGAGCACAAAGAATAATCTCACTGACTATATTGCAACTATTCTGTCTTAAAGTAGACCTGTAAGTATTTTGCTGGGTAAAGGCCTATGCCATAAAGTATATCCTGTAAAACAAACATGACAGTGCAGCCAACTGTCTGCTTGTTTCTTGATTCCCTGACTGCAGAAAGCTTCGGCAATTGCCTTGTGGTGGAATCTGAGGATTGCACCAACTGCATCGGCAGCCCATCCTGGGATCCAGGTCACCCAAGGCAACCTCCAAGCTGCTCCACTGAGCCAGCTGAATTTGGCCAAGCCACCTTGTTGTCTGTGTTAAGGGAATGTGTTTAGCCTGTTTGAAGTCTGCCCTCGGGACCAATATGGGAGTTCAGAACCTGACATGAGCATAGCTATATAATTTGCTAGCTGTATTTCTTTTAATTATTCCAAGTCTGGATAATCTAAAAGTTGTTGGCACCCTTGAGACTTTAAGATCACTGAGATTCTGTTTTATCACTGAGTTTTGCAGCCTTCATTCCATGGCCCACTGTACGCTTTTGTATTTTTTTTTTTAAATAAATGGGTAAATGCAGTATAAAGATACAGAGCTTTCTTGCCCTGGATCCAGCAGAACCCGAGTAGGTGCTTCACTTTTCACTCCAGTTGATGTCAACATGAATAACGTATGTGCTTACTGTCGAGCATGTGCTCAACTGGCACACACCGAACTCTGTTGCTGGATCAGAGCCAAAGTGCACTGGATAGCCTATTATCATACTGACAGTCTTCTTCTTAGAAGAGTACAGCCTAACTCTCAGAAAGTACAGCCTAACTCTAGTGGGTCAAATGCATGTGTAGAGTCTGTAACTGAATAATACTTCCTCATTCCATCAAGTATATTTTAAACAACCTCAATTTGTAGCGTTTTAAAAAATGCTCTTGTTTTATGACCTTTACATTTTTACAAATGAAACCTCTGTTAAATGTGTTCTTTTTAGAGATCATATAAAAATCCTAATTGCACTGACTGTAATTTAGAATCAGAATATTGAGTTTTGTAGAGCTGAGAGTTCTGTTTCTGCTGCAGTCAGAAGGAACCTTTGTCACTGACTTTGCTAGGAGAGGGATCAGGCAGCATATTCGTGTGACGCGGAGTCTTCTGATTTTAATTTTCTGCGGAGAAAGGCTTCTAGGACCTTTGTGACTATTTGGTGTATATACAAATGCAGAGGCTGCGGAGTTTCGGCTCCATTTCTTTGACAAGATAATTAAACAAACAAACAAACAAAAATCAGGAAGACATTTTTGTACCAGTGGTAATAAAGGTTGTCGTATTTTGCTTGAAATATGGCTTTCATATACCTACTCTTTCTTCAAGCTAAATGACTGTAAAATCTCAGCAGACCAAGTTGAAAACATTCCAAAACTCCTCCAAGTTTATTGCTATCAACTTTGTGGTGTTTTGTGATTTATATTAAGACTATATTTCCTGATATGACTTACAACACTGTCTGGATAGAAACATCTTGGTTATCTCCGAGGATTCCAGTTCTCAAGAGGTAGACATTACTGTTCTAATTTTGCAATATTGGAAGGCTTTCATTAATTATGAGAGAGAAAAAGGTATTATAATATTTTAAATCCAATAGCAACAGTACTGTAGCAGCTACTATCAACACTGCATTTCAGTGTTGCAGAGGGATATTTCAAAATATTATGCAGCAGCAGTTTTGAGTTTAATTGTCTGCAGATGGTAGATGATCTATTTTCCTCACTCGTTGCCACATTGCTAATAGCACCCAGGCTGTTCTATGTAAATGAGTGATCTTTCATATAATTTTGTCCTTAATTTTCCAATATTTTTTCTTTGCATCATTCTCCAGCTGCATCATGTTGGATCTGACCTTTTAATTTTTTTTATATTCCTTAATATATATGTATCATAATGTGCTTAACCATTTAGAGGCAATCGTAGAACTGCTGGCAAACAAAGAAATATGAGGTTTTATTAATGTGAGACATGGTAATAGTTATCTATACCAGTCAGTGATTGTTACAGCCCCAGCAGAAAAGTCTGAATACTTCAGGCACACAAACAATTCAGGTTTTTTGGCTTTTTCTTGTCTTAGTGGCAAAACCTAAACTTGAAACTCAGACCTCAGACAGTTACATACATACCTTACTAAAAGCACACCAACTCTCAGTGGTCATTCGTTGTATGCTGAAAGTTATGTGTAGTATTCATTTGCAGAAGAAAGATCCAAGTGGATACAAAAAAATGAATCTTAGCTACCTCAAAAATACTTTACATGAAAATTACCTTTAAAAAGAATTATAGGGAAAATGTACTATTATCAAATAGGAGAACAAAAAGTGAAACTAGTTCAAATTACCTGGAGAGGTTAATACTAGAGTAGTCTGAATAGGCAGTTAACTTTCACTTAGAAAGCCCAGTGCTGTGACTAGCAGAGCCAAAGAGTCTCCAGTTTCCTCAAATGCATTATATGTAACTAATGTGCTTTGAGTCCTGAATGAAAGTCACATGCAAAAGCTTATTAATTTACAGAATAACCAAACTAACCAATAACTGAAGATGAAAAGGAACTTGGTGGGAATTTTTTGGGTTTTATTTGTAAGAAGTTCAGACAATAAACTATTGACCAAGATTCTTCTTGCTGGCCTAGCTTCAGTCTGGCTTTTTTTTTCCCTCATGCATGCTGACCTGGAAATCTTCCTTTGCCTTAGCTGCGATAATCGTGACTCAGCTTACAACACCATACATTCGCATCGCCCCTGCTGCAGGCGACGACCAACTAACAGGTCAGATGTTCAAGTATAGACAAGTCATCATGCCCATTTCATCTCATTTTCTTTGGCTCCTTTTCCCTGACTGTTTCTTCATTCTCTGCTCATAAATACTTTTCTATGTTAAAAGTTTCTTTTTGTTTATAAATTTTTCTTCAGCTCCATTAAATTAAACTGTGTGCTTTGCACCAAAACTTACACATGCATCCCTGTATGTACAACTCCACTGCATGTGCCCATTGTGTGTGTGATCTGTGGAATGTTCCTTCAAGCCTGATGTTGTAAAGAGACCTAGTCTTGCTCTATCCGTAAATTAAATGACCATTTAATTATAGCCATATATCTGTGTACCAGTTGTTTTTTTTTTTCTGTGTTACTAGATCAAGACACTAGAATTTCTAAATAATTAAGGCTCAAGAGTTGCATGTGTGAGTTAGGACAAAGATCTTGCATTAATTATTTTTTTACTGCAAAGTGTTGGAAAGATAATATTTTCTGGCAGCATTTCAATATGCAAAAAATTAAAATGAAATAAAATGGATTCCTTTTTAATTATGCCATACAGGAGTTCTAGGATTAAAACAAAATAACCCAGCATGTCACATATGAGAATGAACAAGACTGTAAGGTTTTTAAATCTATTAGTCAAGGTAAACTCAGTTCGCAAGTCAGACAATTATTAGGCTTGAAGGCCTAATTTTTTGTGTGTGACTTGAAGGCCAGTTCAGAATGTACCAGAAAATCTTTATGAACTTGGGGAAATGATTCATTTTGTCAGAAGATGAACACTTGCATAAAGCTTTAAGGGATTTGGAAACCTTTTTATTTTCAAACAGAAGCAAGGAGCATTAAAAAAAAACAAACTTCTCAGGTTGCCCAGAGAAGTTGTGGATGCCCCATCCTTGGAAGCGTTCAAGGCCAGGTTAGATGAGGCTTTGGGCAACCTGGTGTAGTGGAGGATTTCTCTGCCCATGGCAGGGGGTTGGAACTAGATGATCTTTAAGGTCCCTTCCACCCCTAACCATTCTATGATTCTATGATTCTATGATGCTATGACAAAAACTCTAGAATCTAAGGTGAGTTTGATGGAATATGTAACAGGGGAAGTTAGACCTAGTCCATCAGCGTTTAGCATGTGATAAAATCATTGCCTTTTCCAAGAATACTGGCATACCTACTTGGGAAACATGTAAATGTAGCTACCAAGATGTCTAAGGGAGGAGGAGGAGTTCAGATGCTTAACATCTGGATATTGCTGTAGTCAATAAGAGACACTTAAATGATTCAGCTTAAGATAAGAGGATTAGTGACATGTCCGCTATAGCTTTTAATTCTGGGGTATGTGTTATAGTAACAAAGCTGAGTTATCCGTAATGCCCAAGATGCCCTACCAATCAAGACAAAATTGTTGCATGTGTGTTTGCGTTATGTAACACATGAACTAACGAGAATAATGTATTTAGATGACGCCAGGAAGTACTAGCTTGTTCTTCTTAGTGCTGCTTCTCAGAAGCTCTGTCCACATACATTTTTATAGCTCAATTACTTTTTACTTGAGAATGCAAAGAAACCTTTGAAGAGACAAAGAGCATCTCTTCCATATCCTTGAACTTCAACAAGTTTTTATTTCTTCGTCATAGGGTTCAAATAAGTTTATATATATTTCCATATAGAGAGTTAAATGTTTTTCTTCTCTTATTGTGTTTTTATTTATTTTAATGCAAAACCGGGTAGCTACAAGAGACACTGGAGATATGCCTGGTCCACAGGAGGGAGATGGCTGTGGTCATTAACAATGAGAGAACAGAGATATAGCTAGCATAGGACAGCCAGCAAGGTATTTATTTGGCTGCTTTGTCACTGGTGGCTCATAGCATCAACACTCTGCAATTGTCTTGTCAGATTTGTGACTTTTATTTCTTATTTTTAAAACCCAAATAAATCCGTTCTATCAGGACTAATTTTTATAGTGAAAAAGAAAGTATCAAATGATACCTGCAAACAACATTTATGGCTAGCTGTGAAATGTATTAAAAAGCCTCTGAAATCCCCTCATCATTTTCGCAACCTCTTCTCATGCTTGAAAGACTGTGTGACCTAAAGGAAAGAAGCATCTTCCCCCTTCTCAGTTGCCGCAACTGCAATAGGGAGTGAAAAAGCTTCACCCAGCCCATGTGATTGGTCTCATGATAGCAACAGGAATTCATGTTTTCCTACAAGGGCATACTTTGTAGGTGTCCCTTGGGCAGGCTTTTCAACTTCAGTACAGCAATAATGGTAATGAGGAACCCAAAGATTTTCTTAAAGGAGGTTTGCAGAAGCTGGACTGGACATGAGGAAGCAGGGAACGATGCACATTCTCATTGCACTTTTTTCCTGCATATTCCCAAACTGTGGAAAGGATTTACATATAAAAGGATTTCTTTATGTGGAAATCATAGGACTGTTGCTAACCGTAGTTACTAGAAGCCTTGCAGCTGTAGCTGTTAAATAATGTTACTTAGCATTTTCTCCTGAGTGCCTTTTCCTTTCGTTACATTTGAGATCAAGAAACTACTTTTGTCTTTTAGCATTTGAGGAGATACATAACTGGCAGTGGGGAGGTCAGGGTTGAGATTTTCTTTTTTTTTCAGATGTGAAGTTGATGCTTCTTGCATAATGAAAATTCACAGTCTTGGCTGCATTCTTGAATATTGTTACCAATTTTGAAAGGTCTTACTCTTCAGAAAGATCATGATAATATGGCTCAGCTTTCAAGCCAATTCTACTTGCACTCATTTCCTCCACCCTCATCATCAACTCATCCTGGCCCTTACTGGTGCAGTTTATAAACAATGCATTTTTAATTCCTCTTTGTCCTTCTTTTCACCTTCCTTTTCATATCAAAATAAGGTGACTTCCACTTATAGGATTACCTGGTATTTGCCCTAAATATCTTGACAGTCACTCATTGTTTCAGAACTCCTTTACAGCTTGTAGCAAAGGGAACTTTTCCTTGCAGTTGCACTTAAATACCTAAGTTATAGTATAATACAACATGCTGTAAGTGCAGCTGTGTGATTTTGATTCTTACAAGCCAAAATAAGCAAATTAGTGTTAGTATTAGTGAATACATTATTATCTATTATCGTTGATTCAACAACTTAGTAACTAAGGAGTTCAAATTTGGAGCATAGTGTTTAGCTGTCAAGTGTTACCCTTACAAAAAAGTAACTAACTTGAAATCCGCTTAATTGACCCTATCCTCCAACACATAGGGAGAATATGTATGTAACATCTGTTAGCCAGAAGAAAAGACTGTGTATACATGAAGCCTAATAGTCCTCATGATACCATCTCCAAACAAATACGGTTTAACGGCGGAGTTGAAATCATGTAGAAGGTTAACAAAAAACATATCACATACGTAAGTGACTGTATGGTCTTGACTTTAAAGTTGAATAACAAATCCATGTTTTTGACAAAGCCTGAAAGCATTTGCAGTTTGCTTCACTGTTTTGTAAGAGATGGTTCATGTAGTAGTTTTAAATTGGCCATATTTGGTATTCACTTGGCCCTCATCTATTCTGTTCTGTCTGCATTCTGATAAAATAGCATGCTTGGAATTATGATTAGGGTGTTCATTCTTTCAGGCATTTCTTAATTGTTGAAATATGTCTGAGCTACTTATATTTAAATTAAAGTATTCCAATTGTGATTTAGTGGAGCAGCCACTACTGGATATTATTAAGACTGTTTTCCATAGAACGCCCTTTTTACTACCTATTGTTAATTACACATGCAGCTGGAAGGGAGAGTTCTGTATTGTACACTCTTGTTAGATGAAGTTCTTGGTATAAATTGTATACAACAACATATGTCAGAAGTTTTGTGGAATAACTGATACTTAAGAATTTGGAAAAAAAAAAAATTAAAAATCTTAAAGCTGAAATTATTTTTACCCTGCATACATTAAGGTCTGGATGAGCAGCATATTTTATAACCATGTTAAAAGCAGTCATAAAATAATCCCAATGGGTTTCTCCTCCCTTCGGAAGTGAGCAGCATAATAAAATATACAGATTCCTTCAGATACATATTCAATACATAATAAGATTTATTGCTATAGTCTGGGTTAGATTCTGTTCTCAGCTGTTTCACTGCAAAAGTGAAAAAGAAATCAACTGAAATCATTGATTAAATCGTGACATCATTGAATTATTTTTTTATGTCAGGGAATTTGCTCCAGGTTTATACTGCATTACTGAAAAATCAGTTTGTTTATTAACACAAAAACCAACAGCATAAGTTTGAGAAGGACTTTTTTCTTATTCACCTAGTTTGTTGGAAAGAACTGGAGTAATTCCTTTAGCAGCGTTTGTGGTTTCTCCTTTATGATGTAATGCATTTGAGGTATAGCAACATGGGCTGGACAGACATTAACATTCGTTTTTCTCCATCCTGAACCACGTAGCATTGGTTTAGAAGTATTCTGACATGTTGAAACTTGAAGTGCTGTTTTGGGTAATGGAGAACCCATGATTTCCTAGTTGAGACTACAGTGCTGTCTGTAATAACAAAGCTATGTATGTGCAGATGTGTCTGTCTGCAGGTTCAATACACCATCTTAGGATTTGACTTTTCTCTTGATACTTCAGAACAGCATTGCATGAGTGGGAGTTGTGTATAGTTATCCAGGGGAGAGTGAGCACCTTTGTGGTGTAATGTCAAAACCATATTATGATGCCAAGTGACAAGAAAAGCAGAGTGAGAGTGGATCTGACTCTGCAAAGTGAAATTCTAACTGTTTTTACATGGTGGCCCCAGCGTTGTACCAATTGTTCAAGGATTCTGGTCCTCTTGCTCAGCTGGGCAGAATGCAAAGCAAGAGGAAATCTTCCTATTTTCTGCAGCACCGGCTGAATGCATTTCAATGGGCTGGAGTGTCACTTGTGATTTATTGCCCATTTTTGTTCTTTTATTTGTTATATTTGTCATTTTTCCAGTGACAGTTTCATCTATAAAACAGTATAGTT